CTAGAGTGTTGAGCAGAGTCTCTTTAAGTATTTTTTATATAAATCATCAACGAGATTAGTAGTCTCCTCTCGCAGCCGTTAGGACGTTCGTTCCCAGGTCACTCCCCTCTAACGGCTGCTTCACTTGGCTAAAAATTCCGCTCTCGGGGAYTGACCAATCAGAGCATTACCTTCCAAAATCTAGAAGGCTCATWAATATTCATGGGAGACAGCTTTCGATTTATAAGTTTTGAGATATTTCTGATTTAAATGTAGAAAGAAGAAAGACATCATAAATCTACTAGTGGATTATGGTAAACTGTTTACTGTCTGATCTTTCAACGGTTTTGGCTTCGTGTTTGACTCTTTACGCTGTAACTGAATCGAGTCGCAACGTCCTTTTATCGCCTACAAACATTCATCGACGATCAGCAACATTATGTGAGAGCTTTAGGYCTAGTGTCTAGATTACGAAAGAGATAAAGGACTAGAAGATGAAGTAAAAGAGTWAGATAGTTGCGTAGAAATCTTCAAGAGTTTTGCCCGCCGAAGGTCACTTCAAGGTCAGCTGTGCTGATAAAAATAAAAGACATCCAGATGAATTACTACAAATATTTTTTTTTCGAGTGGCATCTGTATAATTCCACAAATATTTAYTTATTTTACGTTCGAACCAAACCAAAACACGGACTTTGACATATTCTACCCGTTATGTATACTTCACACGTTGTGATTGGCTGTTTAAAACAAAGGGAAAGGAAGTTTTAGCCAAGTGAAGCAGCCGTTAGGGGGGAGTGACCTGGGAACGAACGTCCTAACGGCTACGAGAGGAGACTACGAGATTAGTTCTAAATCAAATCTGCCCTTACTATTTTGTTTTTGTGACGAGAGGCCTTCTGGGAAGACTCTCGTCATAATGTCATCGTGTATGAGTGATTGAACCGTAACCATTCCACGTGACTGTTGTCAAGGAGATATCTTGTGTCAGCGGTATCGAATTATATTACTGTAGCTTTTCTAACTCGACTCGCTTTCSAAGTTTAGTTGTAAACTTCTTTTAAACAATGAATACAAACTCTTTTACGTGGCAAGAGCTAGGTGCAACTTTTTATGCATTTGTAAGTTTGTTTTTTTCTAAAGAATATTTCAGATTTTTGGGCGCTTTACGCGGTGTATTTGCCAACAAACGTCAGTCCTGACCGTATGGCGTTCTTCAATTCCCTCAGGGGAACGAATAAACCCGGAAATTGGGACCAAAACCTCCATTGGGAGACCAGATATGTGACTCAAACTCTGCTTCGGCAGACTCAAACTTTGTTCGGGAAACCAATTATCATAACAATGTAGGTCAATGTAATTCTTTTTGCTGTTTTACTATCAWATTCYATCTACTTTACTAGACACATTGACACAATGTTGATATTAATCTCAAGCTTTTTCATAAACCTAAAATATTATGTTTGTCAAATATTTTGGAAGAAAATTCTACAAAATTTTACTAATTYTAATTAGTAAAAATGCAAAAGAAWATTGTCAATTGTCAAATATACTTCAAAATTTTCAATGTACTCTACATAGGACAAATTKCAATCATGTGGCAATGATAAAAATGCATTTTTAAAAGTCTTATTCTCATGTTATATTCAATATACACATTCATTGTTTTGTTTAATTAGTTTCTCACTTGATAATGTTTTTTTTTTGATATCATGATTCCAGTCCCTTAATACCAAACATTATACATAATCAATTTCCACATTAAGCTGTGACACAATAGCAATCTTTTTATACAGTGAAAAAGTTCTCAACATTATTCCATGTAATAACATAATTAAAAATGCTGTAAAACTTGTAAAGTTTGGCTATGTTTAAAGTTGAGTTGATAGTGTTATAAATCTGTGCATGTTATTAAAATGCACGTTATTCTAATTTCGTTTAAAAAAAAACTGACTTCATTGCTCTTTTTGACTATTTTGCCAATTATTGGTAATCATTATTTCTAAATAAATTTCACTAGTATTTTACAGCATTTAAAAATAAATGTCTATCTATTCACTTCATAAATATTTATTATTAAGAGTGGTCYACCTAACTTTTCATAGTTTACAGCTACCACACTACTATCAATAACCTTKTTTTTACTCTATCACAGTACAATTCTTATCTACATTTTTAACACATTTCATTGGCCTATATTTTTGGCCTGAGTCACATGCAGTCTTTGACTGCGTATTTTTTAAATATGTGACGAAACCTTTAATGAGCAGTACATCCATACAGCTCCACTCTCAAAGCCATGCCAGTAGGCGACACTAGAGGCATAAACCGAATAGCGTCCGTTTTGATTGGTGCTGGAAGCTTGTGAGTAACAACGGATKTCGCGTCGACRTTGCCTTCAAACTCCTGGAATAAATAAGTGTGACGTGTATATTTCAAGATTTACAGTTATTGCATTTTCTTTAACTTAAAATTTACTCTTCAGGCTTATGCTTAGATTGGGGAATAATATAAGATTAATGGTAAGTATTTGGGCCTTTGTACTCGTTATAAAATTTGGCTTTAGCTGATCTCATTGATGTTTTCTTAACTCATAAAATCATATCTACCTTAACAATGCCACCATATCTGTAAAATTTCCATATTGCAYCTCTGCATTTATACTTGAGGTAATAATTAGATACCCATAATAAGGTCAATTTGCGATGCTTTCTTCCTTGTGTGGCGACGTGAGTGATGATGTGAGGAGAAAGGAGATCAATCTGAATGTATTGACCGAACTCCCTGGTTTTTGGTGCCCAACTTCCATCTGGAGCATTTGAGTTCAAGCGACCATTCTTAGGCCCAAGGCTGCTGCGATAAGATGATGATGCACTGAGTTGARAATTTTTGATGCGACCATCTTCCATCCCCAATGCCGCACTGCAATTATCTGGAAAATTAWAAAACATATTGTTTTTCAATAGCCAAGTACTAGTTCCTAAA